GTCTGCTTGGGTGTTGGCCCCGGGGGGGCGCCGGCGGCACGCAGCGGGAGCTGCCGCGTTTAGGGCCGCTGATGCCCAGCGGTGCGGGAGAGGGACCTGGGGGATGCGCGGGAGGGCTGGCTCGACTCCTAGTAAGGGCACGAAGCGGAATGTTTATTCTTTAAATTAACGATCGTATTGGCTTCTCGGCTGCAGGTTCCAATCTGGATTTTGTGTTCCCACCCCGGGCAGGGCATGGGGACCTGGAGCTACGCTACTCACAGCGTGCACTCTGCATGTGCAGCCGTGAGGTAGAAAAGCATAATATCTCCCAGTTAATTACGGGAGCTACTTAATTAATGCTGTTGTGATGCTCCACTGGGGGGAAGAAGACTGTCCAGGTCCTGGGGAGGGGGATGAAATGGTAAATTTGACAGCGTGGGGTCTGAGAGGAGGGTCCTGGAGGGTAATTCTTCATTTCCTTCCACTTTCTGCTAGAATATATTTGACATCATCCCCCTTGTGCTGCTGTAAGTGGTTTTGCAGATGTGCCCAGGGAGCCACACACTCCCTCCCGTCGTGGTCGCTACGAGGGAAGGCAGGAGAAAACCACCCAGGGCAGGAGAAGCCCAAGATCCGTGGGTGGTGGAGAAATAACCAGCGGGGTAAAATAACGCCATGGGACGGGGGAATGGAGGGGTGGGCTGGGCTGGGACGGAGAGAGACGGGAGGGCTGGGAGATGGAGAGGACTCTTCTGCCGAGCCGGGCGGCCGGAGGGCAGCGGCAGGGCTGGCAGGTCGGGATGGAGTTGGCAGGGGAAAAATGAAAAGCAAAAAATGCAGGAGTGCCATTTATTTCTGCTTTATGTCAGCACAGCTCCCAGGTTACTTTCCATGAGGCATCCCGAGCTGCTTTCCCTGTCCTGCTGCTCCAAACTGGCAGCTCCCCGTAGATCTGTGCCCGGCTGGTTAACCATTTTGTAGCCAGGTTCCCCATTTTCTCCATAGCGAAGCTCCGCTGTGTCTGCCATCGGGCACGTTCACTGTTAAAAAGTTACAGCATCTTTTAAGTCAGCCGGTGCATCACTACGGGGCTGCACAAGAGGACCTAGACCCTGGGGACGGGTTCTTCTGCCTAGAAGTACAACCAAAGCACGTTTCTCTCCCCTTCAGGGCTGACGATCTCATCTCTGACTTCAAGGTGTGGAGAAGCAGCATCAGCCGCAGGAGAGACGGCATGGCTCACAGTCAGCTGCCCAACGACTCCTGGCAGAACGGCTCAGCCCCTCTCTTCACCGGCCTGGACCTCCTCCTGGAGCTGAAGCCCCTCTTCATCCCTCTCTATGCCATGCTGGTGGCAGTGGCGTGCACGGGGAACCTCTTCCTCATCCTCCTCATCGCTCTCACCAAGAAGCTGCACTGCACCACCAATTTCCTGATCGGGAACCTGGCAGCGGCCGACTTCATCATGTGCCTCGCCTGCGTCCCCCTCACCGTCTCCTACGCCTTCGAGGTGCGGGGCTGGCTCTTCGGGATGTTCATGTGCTACTTTGTCACCTTGATGCAGGCCGCCACCGTCTTCGTCTCAGTGCTGTCCCTCACTGCCATCGCCATTGACCGGTACATTGTGGTGGCATACCCTATTCGCAGGAGGATAAGCCGCAGGTCCTGCATCTGCCTCGTGGCCTGCATTTGGTTACTCTCCATCATGGCCTCTGTTCCCACATCGCTGCACACCCACTACTTGGATCTCAACACCATCGGCCACGACATGATCATCTGTGAAGAGTTTTGGAAGCACGAAGAGAGAGAGCGGCTGCTGTACTCGTGCTTGATGCTCCTCTTGTCCTACATGCTCCCACTTTTGGTGGTATTGCTCTCCTTCTGTGCCATCACCTACCACTTGCGGAGGAGGAACATCCCGGGTGCTGCCTATCCCTGCCAAGACAAATGGACCAAAACGAAGCAGAAGACCTTCCGGGTGCTCACCGTCTCGGTGGTGTGCTTTGCTATCTGCTGGCTGCCCCTCCAGGTGGTGAACTTCATCAGAGACATCGACGAGGAGTTCACCATCCTGGACAAGAGGTACGTCAACGTTATCCAGGTCTCGTGTCACCTGATTGCCATGAGCTCTGCCTGCTACAACCCTTTCATCTATGCCTCCCTCCACGACAAGTTCTGGTTCCACCTCAGCAGCTACTTCTACCGCAAGAAGAAGAGCTCCAGCATTATGTCCTGCAAGGCTTCTCGATTCAATACCTGCTCCACCCTGGCAGATGCTCCTACCGGGATCTCGGATAAGATAGCTTTGCAAACTAGATTCTCTTAACTGAAGGACCCCAAGAGATCAGTTTTGCTTTTGGACCTGGTGTGCACTTTGCTTTAGACTGGACATAGGAGCTGGTTGCTGGTCATGGTGGTATGTTGCTGGTCCCAGAAGAGGTCTCTTGTGCTTGGCAGGGAGAGCGAGCACCAGGGAACAAACCGATGGGCTTTGTGTCCTCGAGGAGCAGCTCTTCTGAGCAGCTCAAGGATGTTTTGTTCTTTGGGGAAAACAAACCGGTGCAACAACAAACACCGCAGCCAGGCAAAGGCAGAGCAATTCGGAGCAGGAGGTACCTGCGAGCCCACGTACAGACACACTGGAGCAGCGGTAGGTGTTTCCACCTGACCCAATTCAAGAGACAGCTGGAAAAGACGTGAGTGTCAATGAAACAACAGTTGCTTGGCTTGTTGAAACAGAACAACGGATGAGTATCGAGATTAATGACCGGACACGCAACTAGCCTGATGTAGTTCTCCATAAGCCTCAGTTTTCAGAAATGCCTCCGCATCGGCGTGGTCACAGTCTGCCTCCGTTTCTGTGCTTGCTCTATGTGCCGAGGAGCAATGCCCGAGCCATATCCCTGCAAGCGCCGGGTCGTGCAGCCAGCAAGTTTCCCATCGGGCTTTTACAGACCTTATCTCACATCATGGCTGGGTATAGGGTGTACACCCTATATCTCACATCATGGCTGGGTATGAGGTATATACCCTATATCTTGAATCATGGTTGGGTGTAAAGCATATACCCTGTATCTCACATCATAGCTGGGCATGGGGCATATACCCTATATCTCGACTCACAGCTGGGTATAGTAGGCAGCCAGCACCGTATTTGGAGCACAAAGACTTCTCCCCACAGTTTATTTATGAGGTGGGTCAGCTTCTAAGCTAGACAAACACACATCAGATGCATTTAAAAAACTCTTTGGAGAGTGTACGTCTTCATTTTGTAGGATAAAGATTGTTCCTAAGCAACAGATAGCATTTTCTGCCTCTGGAGGAACACCAACTCACAGGTAGCTGTTAAATTGCTGTGCATTTTGTCTTTTAAATTGCGGTTCATTGGTGAAAGGGCAATATACATTCAGAAATGTGCATTCTTCAGTCGGAGACCGTGTGGGAGCACACGGCCACCGAAAGCAGACGGCTTGTTTTGAGTGGGGGCAACTTTCATAACCTGCTTGACTTTCTGAAGAAGCCACCTCTGTAAGCAGACTGGAGGGTCCCAATTTCTCCAGCTGCTAGCGTGCAGCCAAACAAGGCAGACGTAGCCGGGCACATCAGTGAAATTATTGCTGTTCTTCACAGCTGAGTAGGACTCAAGGGTATGGGGCACCCAGAAAGATCTTAAGTGATGTGTTTGCTGGGGAAGATGTCTCAGTCTCCACTCCCAGGGTAGTTTAAGATCGTATACGTCCATGCTCAAGCTCCTTGGGTGGAGGCAGGAATCCTGCCGACGGGCTGCTCTAACCCAGAAACTGCTGGATAAAGGGTGGGTTTGCTTGTCGGATGCTGCTTTGTGTCTCTAGATGCCTGGTGCATCTGTGGCCCATCAGCCAGGTCCATGCAAGCGGCACACCAAGAAGGCACCATCTCTTTGCACCCAGATGCCCAACTTGGTTTTAACCTCTTGATCTCCCAGGAGGAGCGTTTGGGAACAGCCCACAGGCATCAGCGTCACCATAAGCACCGAGTCTCAGGGTCACAACAGCTGCTGGCCACCCAAGGCCATGCCTTTGGTTCACCATCTGCTGCTGGGCTCTGTGGGGCCAAGCTGTGTATCTCCCACTGCTCTTCGTGCCCAGGGACAAGACTTTAAGGCCCCTGGGTGGCATGTCCTCACCACTGCATGAAAGCTCTCCATGGCGTTGGCCATCACTCATGCTTTCAGAGATCAGCCTGGCATCCTCCGGTGCAAACACAGCTGGTCGGACCCTAACACGATCCCTAATCTGCTCTTGTCATGCCCGGGCAGGAGCTGCTGCCCACTTGCCTTCCTGCTGAGACCTTTACGGTGGTAAAGGACTGTGTTATCTCCTGTGGTGCAACCAGTGGAGACGGGGACCCATCAAATGCAAAGTGACGTGGATGCTTGGGACTTCTGTTGCGTGCCCGCAAAGCAGCTAACTCTGTTTGCTTCTCACAGCTTTCTTGTGGCCATGCAGCATTGTGCTCGGGGCAGAGGCTGGGCTGCTCGACCTGGAGGAGCAAAGCAAACCAGAAGGTGCACTGCTTGTCCTTCCCTCTAATAAAGGCTTAAAAAGCTCAGGCTGTGTGTTTGTATTGATTCGAATCCAATAAAAATAAGCTGTCCTTGACTGCAGCTTAATCACATCCCAGGAAGCCAGTCCATTTGGACATGTTTATCTCTGTCGCTGTCACTGGTGGTGGCAGATCCTTGGGGGTCAGTCTGAGATCAGGGCTGGAGAAATGAGGCTGGCTCAGGTTTTGGGAGAGCTCTGCGAAGCAGCAGCTCTGGCTGGAGAGAAAAGGTTGGACGTGCTTTTTTTTTTTCAACAAGGTAATGACTCAAGACGTGCTTTCATTCACTTTGATTTCTCGCTACAGTGCTACAAATACCCCGTATCTGTCTATCTGAAATCTGCAATAGCAAATAATTGGTCTCTAAGGTGAGGGCAGCCCCTGAGCCGCTGCCCGTTCAGCCCTGCCCTGGCTGAAGGCTTTGATCTGAGAGCACACGACCAGGTTATCGTCACGGGCTATCACGTAGCATTAGTGGCCTCTTCTGCCGGCAGCGCTGTGCGTGCTCAGGCAAGCGTGGCTTCACAGCCCCACAGCTTCCCCTCCAGCCATGTGCCTCTCGGTCCTCATAAAATTTGCTAGCAAATCTGCTTCTCACTTTTGCAAGGTCGTTGCACCCTCAGCTGAGCCAGTAAACCCCCAAAACATCATCCCCCCCCTTAGAATTGCTGCCTTCCTGCCCCTACTGCTGCAATGCCTGCCAAGGGCTCTGTTTCCAAAAGCTGCCAGCAGCAGCCTTGGCTTGCAAAAGCAGGACGGACGATACCAACGTCCACCTTCCCCACCAGAAAAGCAACGTTCAGACACGAGGCCGGGATATTGCCAGCGGCGGCAGCGAGCCAGAGCAAATTACACAAGCTGCAAGGCGAAGTGAGAAGTGCCAGCGTTACAGGAAAAGGCACAAACCCAAATCTCGGGGCATATTCTCATGCAATAATGTTGCCCATTAGTGACATAAAAACCAAGCCGATAGCAGAATGTCAGCAGGCAACACAAAGACCTAGCAAAGAAAATAGTAATGAAGTTTAAAAGCCATTTTTTAATGCTGGTATATGTAAGCTGGATTTTTGCAGGTTTGAACTATGGGGGTTTCCTATTCAATAGGGCAAATTCCAGATGATTTCTCCGCAGCCAGCATTGCTTTAAAGTCTCCGGTGCCCTGCGGCATCAAGGGGAGCAATGAGTGTCTAAGGATGGGAACATCGTCCCATCTTCCACAAGCCTGGGCAAAACAGAGCTTTTTCTCCATTTAGCATTTTGATAGAGGCACCGGGAAGGTGCAAAATCGCCTGAAGGGACTAAAAGCATTTCTGTCTCTTGCAGCTTCAGCGGGAAAATGGACCTGGCTGGTAAGTCCCCCCTAATCTGGGACTAGGTGCTGGCAAAGCCACCCTGCCTGCCAAAACCCAGTGGGAATTTCTCAAGCGAGCGCCGGACATGGCCAACACAAGCTGCCGATGGCTGGCACCGAACAGCTCTTGCTTGATATGATAATTTCCACCTTTAATTAGCTCGGAAAAAAGATAAGCAAAAGCGATTAAGTCGCCCAGTCCCTTTCAATCACGCGGGGCTCGCGTTTCCCAACCGAGCTGCAATCGTGCTGTTAAACACAGAGGAAGCCTCTAACGAGGGTGAATCGGGGAGGAATCGGCAAAGTGCTCATGATTGCTTCTTTAAACTAACGTATTTCAAACTAAACATGTTTCTTCTCTGGGATTTTGACTCTCTCAAGCCACGCGGCCGAGACGAGGCCGCCGGCAGCTCTGGTTTCAGACCTGTGGGCAGCGTTTCCTTGGGAGAGAGGCAGCACAGAGCCGCACGGCTGGGAAGGGGACGGGCAGACGGATTATCTGCCGAGCTCATGTTCTCCGGGCAGTTTCTACTGCTTTGCAGAGCTGAGCTTTTAGGGACGCGGCAATCGCAGTTTCTCTGCCAAGTGCAACTGCTGCCTATGAATCAATAGCAAAAATAAAGCCCAAACATATGAGAACTTTTTCTAGATTATTTAAAACATGGGGCGTTCCAGTTGTATTCTGTAGCCAACGTCACACAGCACAAATGGGAATGCAAACGTGCCTTTTCATCTATTTTTTGAATTCTGTTTTAAACAGAAAAATGGAGCTCTTTGCATCTATATTCCATCGTGTGGCTTATTTTATTTTGCCATGTGGCTTGAAAGCTTTCTGCTACACAAGGAAAAATCAGGCTTAAAGCCTACAAGGAAAAAAACCACACAAATCCTTAAAAATGTGGAAAAGTAAATAACTACAAAAAAAAAAAGACAGTGCTGCTGCAAAAGGGAGCTAAAGCGGCCGAAGTTGTATCGATCCAACCTTGTAACAGGTGTTCATACTAGCGCATTATGCAGCTTGCACGGGGTTTGGATTTGAAATATCCTAATGGTTTAATATCGAGGTGGTGGGGGGCACGGGTGGGGTCCCCGCTTCGAGCGGGTGCTCAGGGGGCTCCACGGGGGCTTGGGTGCCCTGAGACGTTCCCTTGGGTAGAGGACCAGGGTGTCTTTTCCCTTCCCTTTCCCCAATTCAGCTTTTCCTGCCTCTTTCCTTTCAAATCGCAGGGTCGGAGCCCTCCTGATCCCCTCCTGGTGCCTACAGATCTTCTGGGACCTCCCCTCCCACCTAGACAAGCCTCTCCCCGCCTCGACCTGTCCCAGAGGGAAATCAAAGCATCCACATATCACACACATCTCCAGGAGGTTTTTCTTCAGCTGAGGCTCAGCTTAAAAAAAATGAGAGAGGCTTGTCCTCAG